CAATGTTAAATAGAAGTCCTTCAAGCAGAGTTTTGAAGCACATCGAAAAAAAAGGACCCATAAACGTAAATTGGATTTGGAACATCCATTAAAAAAGATACGTAGATTTCAAAACGCTAATAACGACCTATAGCAGGACTATGGTCAAGCTAGGTCAGCACCAGATATGTCAATGTTTGATTTGGAGCGAGGGAAAGCTAGTTATTTAAACAATTTAATAAATCTTACAGCAGACAGATATCATATTGAAAGATCGACCGTCCTACAAAGGGACTCGAGTGAGTGGCTTGAAATAAAAAAAAAATAACAGCTTCGAATTTAGAAAATATTTGCTAGATACGACCCTCTACGGATACATCTTCTTTGGTAAAAAATATTTTGTACAAAAAGAATTTGTCGCAAGTGACCTCGAGCTCAAGCTATACAACAAATTCAGCAAGAAAACCAATTAAAAATTTAAATGTGATGAAAATTTAAATTTAAATGTGAACTTTTTGTTGATAAGCAGTACCCATTTATTGAAGCTACACCTGATGGCTTGATTGATATGTTGGTTGAAGTGAAATGCTCATTAGTTGCTGCCAAAAATGATTTTATCAAGCCCTAGAAAATAATAAAATTCAACTGATCCGATACAAAAAAAATAATCGATAACTGGTTTCATCAAATTCAAGATCAGTTACATGTTACAGGCCATTAAAAATGTCTTTTTGGTTTGTGGGTATCATAAAATGAAACGCGTGGCATGCCAATCCGAAACATATTTCTAACCTCAGGAAAAGAAAATGAAGCATCATCAGACTCTTTAACATACGCTTCAATTCCGAGTGTATCTGACACTAATATTATACAGTATACTAATTTTTTAAATTATCTTTGAAATAGAAAGCGAAATATTAATTATTATATATATGAAATTGATAGAACCAATTTAAGTATGTTGCTAAATAAGGTCACTTCAGACAACACTGTAACGGAACGCACTATTGTAAGCTAACTATGCTGTGCGAATAGGAAAGCCCGCTTGCCTATTGCGCTTTGACATGATTGATATAAAACTCAAGAAAGTTTAGAATAAAACCTCCGCCTCAATCATCATCTTTTATTAAAGTTATGTGAATTATTCAACTTGTGTTGTGTGTATTATTAATTAAAGCCTGTATTATGGTACCCAATTTGTTGATAAACTCATGAACTAAGAGAAATTTGTAGAATAAGGTATTAAAAAAACATCTATTGTTATGAGATTTTGAGTAAACAAATTATTTATGTAGGAAGTAATGACCTAATATCCTATTACAAATAACTAATAAACCTTAGTTCGCCTGTTTAAACGGTCCTTTAATTCCAATATTTTTTTAATTTCGTGTATACCTATTTTAGTAGAAAGCTAACACACAGGTGAATAACAAAAGTTTAAAAGTGCAAAAGCTAATTAGAATTATATACCTCAAACATGATATTCTTTTCTAACTACTGCATTACGAGTACGCTACACTGTGGCACAATATCTGGACGTAACTTTGAGTGGCGCGCAGCCGACTCGCGCAGCTTTTTGACACGCTGCGTCTTTGCGTACGATACGTTAGCGGGGGGGTGAGGTAATGTTTGCACATCTACACACCGCGCTGCAAGAGCGCCTTAATAAAGGACAGGCTTTTTTACCGCGTTAGCCGACAAACACGCGGGGCCGCGAGCAAAAGCTAGTGTAAAATAAAACATAATGCCCAATAAAAAATATTAGTAAGAGGGTGAGTAGATGATAATAAGAAGTCGATCGATGACGACTTCGAGGAGCTCCCCCCTATGAGGAATGAGTAAACAGAAATAGCAAATGTAATTAAGGAATTTTAACATTTAAATAAAAAATTAATATATTATTATTATTATTTAAATAAAAAGGGTGTAGATAATAAGAGGATTTAATTAGTGATGTTTACTAAATTTAATGAGCTACTCTGTTCATTATGTTAGTGTAAATTAAACGTAATTATATCGGGTGGCTTTTGGTGGCACGAAAAGGAGTGAGTTTATTGTAATTTATATCACTTTAATTTAACCTTCAAATTACTCTTATCGTGCAGCATAGATGGCGCTAATAATCATCATTTTTGATATAATAATAACAGTGGGCATTGAAATCAGTACTTGTGCATGTCCATCTCATTAAATCTAGGGATCCATATAATTGCTTATGTAAATTTCTCCGAAGAATTTCGGCGGTTATTTTTCGACTACCCGCAATAAATATTTATATGTTTCGAAAACTGGTTACCCCTTTTTGTCGCAAGACGTAGGTACAATTTTTAATGACTAAATTGAAATCTTTTAAACGAAGCGAAATAACCAATATATAAACGATAGATAACTTTTTGGATTTTGTTTCATATTCCCATTCTTCAAATTCACTTGTACACGAACTTATTATTAACGAGCCATATTCAATCCAAGCATCTTTTAATATTTAAAAATACCTAAATGGTCGGCTAAATTATCAGATGAATATAGATTGCAACGTGTAATATACTATTATATATAATATTAATGAGCTGATTTGTGAGCTGAGCTGTATGAATTCAGGCTGTTGTAGATTATGATGTATTCTTTAACAACATTAGTTGCGCCGTTGCCCTGGGTAGTCTCTGCCACCGGGCACGCCGATTGGCGTTGCCGCGCCGACGGACGAGTGGCTCGAGAGGCGTCACGGGACCCTCTCATAGCGACCGACGCAGGTGATCACTGGGAAAGGATGTTTGGGGGATCATCTGTGTCTGATCCGCAAGGAGCCAACGCCTGAGTGCCACCACTGCGATGACCAGACCGTGGACACGGCTCTCCACACGCTGGCAGAGTGCCCGGCGTGGGTTGAGCAGAGGCGAGACCTCGTGGCGGCTATCGGAGTGGGAGTTGTCTCGCTCGATAGCCTGATTGCGGCTATTCACTTATTCACAAAGTTTAGCGACATTCATAATATAAACAAATAAAGATAAACTCGTGTTGCCAACAGACTACAAAAAGTAAGCAAGTGTTTTCGATGTCAGGGTGGGCGATTCAGTCGGGGCACCAGGGACTTCCTTTCTAGGGTATACCTGGTTCCCCGGCTATTAGTACCCGAGACGGCGTGCGGTTTTAGTCGGTTCGAGTCCGATATGCCACCGACAGGGGGTATCCGAGGGGGGCCGCTCGCTTTCGCCAAACCTTTGGACCAGTATGTTGCTTCTAACCGCCAGTGCTCTTGGTTCCCGTTGGACATCTTATATAGTCCTTCATGTTCGACGTTACTATATGTGTGTATATATTTAAAGTGTTGAACACGATTCAAGATCCCGCCAGCTATAGTAAACGAATGTAAATTGTAAAGTATTAAAGTAATATAAAGTAAACATAGTAAATTGTATATAAGTAGTAATTAATTTTATATTTTATTTATGTAAGTTATACCTAAGTCAGATTTTTTTTAAATCAATAATTTTAATATATATAAATCTAATTTTCCGTTTTCTATTGCACCAACCGCATAATTTTTCTAATTCACCGTCGACTGGCAGAGACTTTTTTTTTTTTGCCGTGCGGAAATCCCCTCGGATACCTATCGGTGGCATGTCGGACTCGAACCGACTAAAACCGCACGCCGTCTCGGGTACTAATAGCCGGGGAACCAGGTATACCCTAGAAAGGAAGTCCCTGGTGCCCCGACTGAATCGCACACCCTGACATCGAAAACACTTGCTTACTTTTTGTAGTCTGTTGGCAACACGAGTTTATCTTTATTTGTTTATATTATGAATGTCGCTAAACTTTGTGAATAAGTGAATAGTTTTCTTAACATACACTAAATTTTAATATATTATATAGATAGTATATTGAGATGCGACTGTCATAATACCAATTTAGTTTTTACGACACCCACGTGATGAATACCCCTATTCATCCCGTGGGTGTCGTAAAAGGCGACTAAGGAAGCAAACTACGCAGGACAACAGCACTGCAAAAAGAAGGAAACTTGAAACAAACCCTCTATACCAACCCGTCTAGCCAGCGTGGTATAGGCCAAAACCTCCTTTCTAAGGAGAGGTCTATGTTCTGCAGTGGACTAGTAAAGGCTGTTGATGTGATGTGATGTTTATCTAATTTATTAATAACGAGAAATTTTAAGGCCAGGCGTCTTTTTCTTTTGTAATAAAGACAACTGCCGCACTAGGAATATATCTTGTACGACTGACGCAGGTACTCACTGGGCATGGTTGCTTCGGTGAGTACCGAATCGGATTGGACTCGAGGAGACGGCACAATGCCAGCACTGTGCAGCCGACTGGGACTCCGCCCAGCATACGCTGGAAGATTGCCGTTCGTCGGCGTCTGAACGCGTTATCCTGGTCGACCAAATCGGACGAGACCTGTCCCCGCCAAAGATCCTAAAGTCCTAAAGAAGAGTACAAAAAGTATGAATAATGTAAATGTCTTTTACTAGTTTATTATTATAAAAACGTCAGTTTCCATAAGCATTACTTTTGCAAACATTTGGTTCGAAGGTAATTTTGTTCCTAAAATACTTTGATTTTTGAAAGCTATGACGTATTACACACTCCACGTGATGATGTGATTATTCAGGTATAAGATGTTAAGTGTAAAAGTTTATCTAAGAGAACCTAAACCTAAGAGAACCGTTCGTACAATCCATACTCATCTCTCATAGTAAGTTGGTAGGGGTGAGTTTAAAGTTCAACCATTTCGAACTTTACTTCCAGATATTTGTGACTTATTTAAAATTTGTTTTGATACTTTAAAGTTACATTCTATCACACACTCCCGGTAGCGAGTATGAGAACCTTTCTTTTTCTTTTTTTAACTTTTCTAGTGGAGCTCTTACCGCTCCCCTGCCGGAAAGGCGCCCGGGGCGGCTCGCACCCCCTGCCCTCCCTCGCTACGCCGCTATAAGTCGTCGACACTGTTAGGAAAAGTTCTCGGTGAAATTTCGTCACTTATTTTGTAAAGAAGTAATGTTCGCGGAGAGGGAACTGGAGAGAGCCAGTTCTGTTCCGAACATGATGTACCAGGCATCGGAGAGCTCAGAACTCAATGTTCTACCTATGTCAGTAAGGTCTGCCGAGGTTCTTTTGGGCTTCTTTCCAAGGGTATATCGTTACAGACTCACTTGAGACGGAACACTTTGTGCTTTTAGTCGGTGCTATTCCAAGCTACGACTTCACTGTAACACACACCCGTGACACATGGAACAAAGAGAACTAGTACACACTAGGTACTTAAGAAGCATGCTATTCCATTAGGAACACCTATAATGAAAGTGTCATCTATACCTACTAACATTATAAAGCTGAAGAGTTTGTTTAGTTGTTGCAAAATCTAGCCGAGCATCAATGAAAAATTCTTTACATCATTCTTTTAAAAGTGTTTTTTTTTCTGATTTGTTACAGTTGCCACTTTTATTACCGGGCTGCGAGGTGGTCGGTGGCCTTGCCTTCACTTGCGATTCTCCGGACGATACATGGTTAACCTTCATCGAAAGTGACACCGTGAACGTTAGCCGCAAGAAGAGGGGGCGTGAAGGTACTCTCCACGGTATCTACTACTGTGAGCCGTTCATACCAAAAGCAAAGGTACCCAACAGGGTCGAGGGATTTAATAATATGGATTTCTTAGTCAAAAGGACTTGGAACAAGTAGATAGGAGAACAGATAGCGAACCGAAATTATTTGGATACAATCTCGTGAAAACACGTACATTACTGTTAATAATAACATCTTAACCAAGCGATTTTAAGCTGTTGTCACACATACCTATTTTGAACATCTGGTTGGCGGAGTCTTGGATTATTAATTTATAACCTAAGGATGAAGCATTTAGGAAAAGATGCTCGTGAGAGGAGTATCTTGGGTACCTTTTTAACTATCTTTCGTTTGAAACTGATGTATTGTTTGTCTGAATTAGTTTTGTTATTTGCTTTTCTTAACATTGTTTTGTTTTTCATATGTATATATTTTAAATATACAATTATATACATTGAACGTTTTGTGTTTTCATCACCACCCAGCTGTAGAAGTAGTTTACACTACTAGGAGTTGTTCCGCTTTCAGCCCACTCAATCTCATTCCATTCTCATATCATCCCAAATGCTTATTCCGTACTCATCCCACCTTTGAAATTAATTTGTTACTGTACTGTAAGTACTGAAAAAGTATGCATAGCACAATCATGCTTTCAACCAATTCAATTATTTAATAAAGTTACAAGGAATAAATAAAGTTACAAGGAATAAAAGCAATAAAAGTTAATTTTTAGAAAAAAAACAAAAACCGACTTCAAAACTATACCTATATGTACAAATTTAAACTGAAAAGTAGAAAATAATATTAAATAATAATAATGATATTAATTTTTTATTTTAATTACTTTAAACATTCAACGAAAAGGTTTCCTAAGTTATTTTTGAAGTCGGTGCCGCCCAAAAACAGTTTAATTGTTGCAAAGGCAGCAGCAACAAATGGAATGTACGGCGGCGCGACGCGGCTGCGCGCGTGTTGCAGCTGGACAGGACGGGACGCGGGGGGATGTGCCTAAGTGAGCGACCCGAACGCGGCAGACGCGTGAGGGCAGACGTCGTTGACGGTTGTGTCTCTATGCATAAAAATTTTGATGCGCTTCTTTGCAATTTATAAGTAAGCTTACGTGCGATTTTCTTTTCTCTAGTAAAAGTTAAGGTAATTAATATAATAAATAGTGTAATTAATTATTAGGTTATTTTTTTACTAACGATATTTTTGTTTTGGTTGGCACCGACTTCAAAGATAACTTAGGAAACCTTTTCGTTGAATGTTTAAAGTAATTAAAATAAAAAATTAATATCATTATTATTATTTAATATTATTTTCTACTTTTCAGTTTAAATTTGTACATATAGGTATAGTTTTGAAGTCGGTTTTTGTTTTTTTTCTAAAAATTAACTTTATTTTTAATTTTTAACCGACTTCAAAAAAAGGAGGAGGTTCTCAATTCGACTATTTTTTTTTTTTTTTTTTTTGTATATTTGTTACGCGATTACTCCGGCAATTATAAACCGATTTGAATAATTCTTTTTTTAATTGGTAGGTCATACGTCAGAGGTGGTCCCATTGTCACCAGGTCAGGATCTGATGATGGGATCCTGGGGAAATCGAGGGAAACCCTCAAATTTTGTAGGCATATACACTGTTTATCAGAAATTATCTTAATCTATGTAGATTTTTGCATCTAATGGCCACCATCTGATGTTGCTGAGCTGATGATGAAGCTGATGATGAATGGTTTAGGAGTATGGGATCTCTGTAACAAAATTATGTAATACCATCGAATTTGAATGTGTTTGAGTCTAATTAATAAGGACTCCGATCCTATGTGATATTCAGGGTCTGATGATGGAGACGGTAAATAGCCATGGGAACTCTGTAATAAAATAAAGCAATTCCGCCGTGTTTGTGCTCATTTGATTCGTCTCGACTAGGAGCTTCATGCTAGTCGATTTTTAACCAACATAAAAAAAGGAGGGTTTTTGATTCGACAGTATGTTTTCTTTTTAACCGACTTCCAAAACACAAAAGAAGTATGTTTGTTCCGCGATTTCTCCGTCAATTGTGGACCGATTTTCAAAATTCTTTTTGTAATCGAAAGGGTATGCTCCCGAATTGGTCCCATTACCACCAATTCAGGATCTGATGATGGAATCCTCGAGAAATCGAGGGAAACCCCACAATTATTGGGAATTTGACAGCCCCGACAACGTGTTTTAGCTACGAGTATTTCTTTAGCCAAACAAACCATGGCAACCGTCAGAGACTGCGCGATGTGATGCTCAGAGAACTTGCAGTATTTATGTCCCCACAGTAATTAAGAAGAAAAGGTTGAAATTTTGTATTCTATCTTGTTAAAATAATTCGGATAGACGTTTAGTTGCTATGGATGGCATCGCATTTCGTTTGTAAGTAATTTTATACTTAATTTATTAAAATAGTTCTGGAAAAAACTCTTAAATTTTGTGTGGGTCAACTTTTTAAGGAGAGGCCTATGTCCAGCAGTAATTAAATATAATATTTAATATAATCTAACAAACTACAGTTTGTTACTATACATTACGGTACGTAGTGTTTTAAATATCGTACTTATCTACTCATTACAAACATATCCTACACTAAAAATGGTAAAATAAACCCTTTTAAAAAAAAAGTTGAACCGACTTCAAACAACACCGACAAAGAGCACTAAAAATTAAAAAATAATTACAAATCTAAGTAAAAAACTATAATAAGTACCCTCAATGTAACAGGTAATATTATAATACCAATAGTCCCTTCTAGTCTGTTTGAAGTCGGTGCCAAGCTCGATGCACAATAAGTAAGACTGGTCTATGTCAGCTTTATATTAGCACAATGAAAAATTAAGAATTCAAAATAATTCTAATGAAACATCGAAGATTTTGTTAATTAATAAAGACCAACCAGGTGAGGTGAGGTGATCCGGCAGAGAACTAAGGTCACCGACATAGCGTACCGGATCAGCAAGTTGAAGTGGCAGTGGGCTGGCCATATTAGCCGCAGAACCGATAACCGTTGGGGAAAACGAGTTCTTGAGTGGAGACCGCGTCTCGGCAAACGTAGTGTAGGACGCCCACAGGCCAGGTGGAGTGACGATTTGCGCAAGATGGCTGGCAGGAGCTGGATGCGAGAAGCCCAAAATCGATCTAAGTGGCGTGCAATGGGAGAGGCCTATGTCCAGCAGTGGACTGCGATAGGCTGATGATGATGATGAAAGACCAACCAGATAAATTACGTGCGCAAATTTATCAACTACTTAATAAAGCATTCAAAATAATAATATAATTGGAGATGTGCGTCCACTTTAGCTCGTTCAACATGTTTTGCGCAGCATGAAGACTGTTGCAGCTGCCGCGCTACATTCTACCATGCCTATCAAGCACCTATTTGGCTTGGCACCGACTGCAAACAGACTAGAAGGGACTATTGGTATTATAATATTACCTGTTACATTGAGGGTACTTATTATAGGTTTTTACTTAGATTTGTAATTATTTTTTAATTTTTAGTGCTCTTTGTCGGTGTTGTTTGAAGTCGGTTCAACTTTTTTTTTAAAAGGGTTTATTAAGTGGAAAGTTAGTGTATTTTGTTTGTATATAATATGGGTAGGCCTACTAAACGCGCTTCTCAAATGAGAAAGCGTCGTTCGGAAGAAAGTAGGGAGGAGAGCGAAGATCGTCTAAAGAAGAGTAGGGAAAGATTTGCAATAAAAATTGCAAATGAGAGTGATGAGCAGCGGGCGTATAGACTTTCTCAGATGAGGGCATACTCAAACTTATCAAGGCTTAATGAAAGTCCAAAAAGTCATGCTCAACGACTCAGTTTGATTCACGAGCGTTTATCAAACGAAAGCAAAGAGCAACGTTCTCATCGTCTTCGGTTGATTCACGAGCGTTTATCAAACGAAAGCGAAGAGCAACGTTCTCATCGTCTTGAGTTGATTCACGAGCGTTTATCAAACGAAAGCGAAGAGCAACGTTCTCATCGTCTTGGGCTGATTCACGAGCGTTTATCAAATGAAAGCGAAGAGCAACGTTCTCATCGTCTTGGGCTGATTCACGAGCGTTTATCAAACGAAAGCGAAGAGCAACGTTCTCATCGTCTTGGGCTGATTCACGAGCGTTTATCAAACGAAAGCGAAGAGCAACGTTCTCATCGTCTTGGGCTGATTCACGAGCGTTTATCAAACGAAAGCGAAGAGCAACGTTCTCATCGCCTTGGTTTGATTCACGAGCGTTTGTCAAATGAATCTATCGAATCCAGATCGACTCGATTAGATGCTATGCGACAAGCTAGTCGCAACCGCAGGAATGATTTCGAACAGTCTATTAACATTTTTGCAGACGTTCAGTGTGCCGTTTGTAATAAAGCGTTATATCCACCACAACGTTTTAATTTACGTACTGCAATTTACAGTGCATTATTACCCAAAGAATTGGTTTCTCTGGGCAATATCATAACATGCTCTCGCTGTCAAAATAATATTAGGAAACGAAAAATTCCACCAGCAGCTTTCTGGAACAAAATGACAGTCGCGACTGTTCCTCAAGAGCTAGCTAATTTGACGAAACTTGAAGAACGGTTTTTATGCCGTGTTGTACCGTTTCTTAAAATAATGAAATTACAAAATCGTTTCTGTCAAGATTGGTGTAAGGGACAAGTAACTTTGTTTGCAAAAGACGTTGTTGAAGTCGCTGAACAACTGCCACTTGCGCCAAACCAAGTAGGATTAGTTCTTGTTGTGGAAAGTCTCGAGAACTTGCAACGCTCCCAAGAGTTTGTTGTGGATATGAACAGATTGTATCAAGCTCTAACCTGGTTAATGTCAAACAATATACTCTACAGAGATGTAAGACCCCATTTTGAGAATGTTATTGACATTTCTGAACTTGTTCAAATTTCTGAAGAGCCTGCAGATGGTGGTGAGCTTATGGAGTTAGAATCTACTCCTCAAAACAACTACGTCGATATAAATGAAAACGTTTCTATACTACACGGATCAGCTGATTTAAGATTTGATTTACAATCTCGTGGCAAACAATGCACTGCTGTAGCAGCTGTAGCTTGTGCAGCGTTCTGTACAGATGAGCCAAGTCAAT